GGGCTGAATTTTCCTTTAAAACATTATAAAGTAATTCTCCCGCCTTCTTATCATGCCTTTGTGGTGCAGTGGTCAGCACACTCGACGCGAATTCGAGAGGTCCGTGGTTCGAGTCCCGGGTTCCTCATTTTTCCTCTTTCCTGCTTCGAAATAACCTAATGTCTCTACAGTGGCGCCCGAACTTAAAAAAGGTGGTGGATGATAAATCTTCATTTGGCGAATGAGTCCCCTAAAACCCCAGTCACGCTTTAAAAGGGGACGTATATAAGGTATTTCTCCCGTCTTTTGAGTCGTGGCGAGGGCATTGCTCCTTTTCCATCTCTCCTGCTATCAAATATATATCCTTATGTCTCTACAACATGAGATGCGACTTTGGATTTAGCAAGAGCTGTCCGTACCTTTGTTGGGTATTCATTTTTTTCGTACATTTTTCCCAGTCACCTGTAAACATTGACGTTTCTTTTTTTTCATATTAATTATGCCACTTTTTTACGTGTAGAAATACTAAAACCATCCTTTTCAAACCTTTTTTAATAATTGAATAAGAGTATTTCTCTGAGGGCGCAAATATAGCTTTAGATCCATTGTTCATTTTTCAGCGACATTTTAAAGATGGTGATAGTGTTGGTGTATTTAATTATGGCAAAGCACACTAGGGCTATCTGCCTAAGGGGAGGGGTGCCTTCGTGGAGGACTTTCTAAGGGAAACTGGCTCGTATACACGTTACACATGGGAAAAACCGCGAAAAAGCCCATGCAGCCAGCCCGTTCGCGGGGATTCGAACCTCGGACCGAACTACCAGTGTTCAGCGACTTTAGCTCTCGGCCGCTGGTGGGCCGACATTTTAAAGAATGAATATTTTTAATGCTGCAGACGATAAATAAACCTTATTGCAGTTCGATGTCAGTCACGTGTGTATTTTAAAATTAATATTTAAATTCACGGAGAAAATCAGAATCGTTACAAATACCCTCTGTAATGTTTGCTTGGTATGGAATGTGCGGTAAAATTTCTGCAGGAATATAGAAGTATTTTACTGTAATATCGCTGTAAGGAAAATCGATTCTTAAAACAATCGCGAAGAAATTTCAGCCAAGAAAAAAAGCAATAAAATTCTGCTTTTTTAAGAAGAAGAAAAGAGATTTGAAAAATTTAGAAAAAATATATATTTACTTTTTTTTTTCTTTCTCTCAACTGACCCAAATTTCACGAAATATTTTCGCGCAGTTAATTCTCAGTACGCTTCGGTATGTTCGTATTCGAAGCAGCTGTTTTTGAAGTAAATTTTATTGGCGGAAGAAGTTCGTGCGATAATTTGTTGAGTTTTTCTTTTATCCTCGAAAATTAAAGGAAGAATGATGCTTTGACTGCACTGATGTCTGCTTAAGTCGCGTGCCCATACATTCGAAAAGTGGTTTATGAGCATCTTGCTTAAAAAAGAACTCGTTTATATCCAATTTCGAATACTGAACACGACCGCTATGGCAATACTTGCAAGGCCGTCTCGTCTTTGTTCTAAAGGACGAACGGTGGTTGGAATGCGTCTTGCTAGATAGTGCGATTTTTCGCAAACTTGCTGTTTTTGCCAAATTTGTGCTACATTAAACGCTACTTAATGTACGATTACGTGTGTCCACGGCTATGACGATGGCATTAACCGAATGATAACATTAAAGGACGGCAAAAAATATCCTCAAAACTACTAATGGAATTTAACTCATTTATATGTATAAAGAAGAATGTCTGTTTATATGTTTGTTCGCGATTAACTCAGTCACTACTACAGCTATCGTCACCTAACTTTCAACAATTCTTTTTTGGGTCCTGGAAAGGTCGATGTCCACTTTTTTCCAAATAAATAACTAAATAAATAAATAAAAAAATTTGAAAGATTTCAGATTTTTAACTTACGTCCAAAGGGGCGTTTTTTTTAACGTTTTGTGTGTTACCATAAAATTCAGTTCAACAGCAATGTAGCAAAATAATTTTAAAATGAGTATATCTGTAGAATTCCCGATACATAGTTTCGCGCGCTGGAGATAAAAATGTTTTTCTTGTACAACGTTGCCATAGCTCCCTTTGAAATCCTTGAGTTTGTTAATCAAAAATTAGTTGAAGTTTTACAAAATACGAAATCGATAGTAAAATAAATTACAAATTTCAAATTTGGGCTTTCAGAAGCCCAGGTACCGTTGTTATATCACAATGCGAGAAACATTTATGCAGATTCGTCATTACTTACTTTCTTCAAATATAATGCATTTGCTTCAAATATATGCACATTAGGTGGCAACAGTTTGAAAAGTAAAACAAACCTTTATAAAGCAAACCAGTGCAAAATGCCAAAACGAAAACTAATAGTCACTGCTTCGGGATTCAAATCCCTTTGGACTAAAAAAAAAAAAAAAAAAAAAAAAAAAAAAAAAAAAAAAAAAATCTGAAATGTTTCAGATTTTAAATTACGTCCAAAGGGGCGTTTTTTAACATTTTGTGTGTTACCTTTCTTTATTAAATATCATGTTCCTCGCACTTAAACCATAAGATCCAGTGCAACAGCAATATCGCAAAATAGTTTTAAAACGAGCATATCTTTAGAATTTCCGATACAGAGACTCACGCGCTGGAGATAAAAATGTTTTTTTCTGCACAACGTTGCCATTGCTCGCTTTGAAATCCTTGAGTTTGTTAATCAAAAATTCGTCAAAGTTTTAAAAAATAGGAAATCGATCATAAAACAAATTTCAAATTTCAAATTTGGTCTTCCACATGCTCATATTCGTTGGAGGATTACGTTATTCAAAATTCGATGACTCTATGTACCGTTGTTTTATGACAATACGAGAAATATACATACATTTACGCAGATTTTCATTATTTAATTTCTTCAAATATAATGCAGGACTCTAACATTTTGTGGCAACAGTTTGAAAAGTGAACCGACATTTATGAGTCCGACGCAAAATGCCAAAACGAAACTAATAGTCCTTCGGGATTCAAATCCCTTTGGACTAAAAAGTTAAATCAGAGATATTAATTCAAAACTCTGAAAACGTTAATTTTTGCCCTAATTTTTCCGAGTGACAACAGTCTCACACGCTGAAGATAAAAATCTGCTTCATTTCGAGGAGCGTTACCACTGCTCGCTTTCAAATCGTACAGTTTGTTAATAAAAAATTCCTAAGTTTTACATTGAAATAAAAATAGCATTGCCAAACGTTAAATACATTATTCCGTATTCGAAATATTTGTGGGAAGCCATTTCGACTATTCCCATCTTCGTACGACTTTGATCAGCCGAAATGCTAATTATGAACTCTGAAAACACTCATTTTCGCGCTCATGTTTCCGAGCGGCAACAATCTCGGGCGGTGGAGATAAAAATGCTTTATTTTGAAAAATATTGCTACTGCTGTCTTTCAAATCGTAGAGTATGTTGGTGCTACTTTGGTAGACGGTTGCACGGATTTTGGCGACTTTTTGGCGATTTTTCTTTTGGGAAGTAATACGACTTATGGTAAACCCATTGCTGGATAAGTTATTTATGGTAACCGATACTTTGTTGTCATTTTATTTAAAAAATAATGCGTTTTATTATGCATAAATTCCATGTTTTAAATATTATTTATGGCTTCTAAATATTAAAAATCAATTTAATTTTGCATTTTTATTTGAAACAAAATTTTGTTGTTTATAATATTTTTATATAATTTTATGTTGTGGATGATGTAATCAATGACGTCACCTTACTTAAAAAGTAATTGGTTTTATTAATATCTATAAATTTAATCTAATGTTTTAAACATTATTTATGGCTGTTAAATATTAAAATACAATTTAATTTTTGCATTTGTTTTAAAAAATGATTTTATTATGAACGATTATTTAAATAATTTTAATTCTAGGCGTAATGTAATCAGCTTTCTGATTGGTTATAGAATATTTGTGCATTACCGACGAGCTAATCAGCTCCCTGATAGGTGCTGAAATTTGTGGCATTACTGCGCCATTTAAAATTTAATTCATATCTTCGAATTCCTTCAAAATGTCTCCTTCAGAGATGAATGTTGTTTTTGATAAGTACCAAGAATTATTGGTTATCGGAATCAAAAATTGTCCTTTGAGACCTTATTTTGGTCTGCCTGGCTTTCCTAATCAAAGATTTATTTATAAATTCTTTCAAGGGTCAGAGGAAATTATTTTAAATTTTTTGAGGAAACCTCGATCACAGATGAGAAGATGGTTTAAGAGCCCATTCTGAAGACGGCCGTCGTATGGTATTGTGTATGTTGGAAGAAATAATCGCTGTAAGTAACGGAGAAAAAAATTATACATTCCTCCTTTTGACGACAAGAAACTAATTATAATTGCTGTAATTTTAGCTTTAAAAAAATATAAATAAGAATGCTTACGAAGCCTTCTTATTTATTTATTTTAAAGTATTTAAGTAATATTTAATTCTTTGAAATGTTGGTATGGGTTTTTAATTCGATATTCAATTTACGTAATTTTTAATTCAATTAACGTTGGCGCAATGTTTTTATAGCGGTATTTTTATTCTATTTTTTGCTTTATGAAAGTAATATTTAACCTTTTTCTTTAGTATTTTATACTCGTAGTAAAATGTATTTATTTCATTTGCCTGCCATCTTAAAAAAACAACGTTTTCAACAAAAAATTAATCTATAATTTTTAACGATATTTATTTTTTTAAAGTTTCGAATACTTTACTATGCGGAAAATAACGTAAAAACGGCGTTTTTCAAGATGGCTGACGATTGTAAAAACCGCGCCAACAATTGCGCCAAAGTAAATCGCCAAAAATCCGTGCAACCGTCTACCAAAGTAATACCAGTATGTTGACCAAAAATTTGTATGTTTTACGAAATCTATAGATACAAAGAAGAATGTCTGTTTGCGTGTTTGTTTGCTTGTCTAAAATAAAAATAACTGAGACTTGTTTTATTTTTTTAATTATTTACTTTTTATTTATTTCTTGCAGGAACTGTCCACTCGACCGTCCTGCATCTCAAGGCGGAAGCTCTGGTAAGTGATGTTAGCTTATTTCTAACAATTTTTAAAATGTCCCGCCGTGTTTTTTTTTTTTTTGTTTGTTTGTTTTTGTTTTTGTTCACATCAATGAATGAGTTTCATTTAAATTAAAGTGCCGGGAAAGTAAGCATTTACCTGTTTCTAATCAGAGTTACATAGGTGATCGGATAGTGTTATTGATTAGCTGAAGTATCGCCCATTTGTATACGAAAAAATGGAAAATACACCCTTATTTGTGACCATCAATACCCTTCATATGATCGAATGTTATAGAAGCCGCATAACCGGTATAATGGTTAGCGTCGCTGACTGCAATGCTGAAAGGCGCGGGTTCGAATCCCGGAGAAGGCATAAATGTTTGTTAGGATGGTTAGTGTGTGTTAACCTTTCATTCTCCAGGATGTGTAATTCTTTTATTACTAAACTAAATATTTACATATAGTTCAGGAATATCCGTCACCTCTTTCCCATTCTCTAAACTCCCCGATTCTCCATTACAGTCGTGTGCTCTATATCGTCTCATTTCATGTTTGTGCAGTGTCTGTGTGGCATGGCAATAGGCGGCGAGTCGAAAGTCCTCTCGCATCGTTTCGACTCGTCCCCCCTGGGTAACACCCAGCATTTCTTATTTTCTGAATAAAATCCTCAATGACAACATTTACCTTTTTACACAATTTGTAAACTCTCGGAACACTTCTACTTATGAAGTTTCCACTTCCATGTTGCAGACAAACACTTTCCATGTCAAAGAGAATATATCTGTGATGGCTGCGAAATTCTTCTTGAGTAACCTCATAATCATTGATGTCCAATAAGCTTGAACCCAACACAAGGTCGGTCCAACCCTGTCCAACTGAAGACGAAAAAGTTGGAGTAAAATCTTTAATATTAAAAAGCACTAAATCTTTAGATGTGATAAAATCAAATAATAAAGTCCCACGTATATCTGTAAAACCAGCCCCCCCCAACTAAAATGCTTGCAATTAAAATCACCAAAAACTAAAAATTTCCAAAACATTTTCCAATTTATACAAATTAATAGAAGATCTTCAGCTGGAGAAAAATATACAGACACCGGTCCATAATCTTGATCACCCAGCACAGCAAAAGAAATACCAGGTGTTTTTTTTTTTTTTTGTTTTTTTTTTTTTTTTTTTTTTTTTTTTTTTTTTTTTTTTTTTTTTTTTTTTTTTTTTTTTTTTTTTTTTTTTTTTTTTTTTTTTTTTTTTTTTTTTTTTTGTTTTTTTTTTTTTTTTTTTTTTTTTTTTTTTTTTTGTTTTTTCGTCTCGAAATCTACAACAAAATCTATATCTTGATTGACGACAATAATGGCAGTCCTTCTTCCCCCATAACAAGCAACGACTCTCCAATTTTTATTAACATAGGCCACTCTATCCCCTAATTAAATATGGCTCCTGCAGCAAGATGACATCAGGCAAGACTCCCACAACTTCCTGGATAACAGAGAGCTGGGCAGCAGCGATGGCACAATGATTCAAATTAATACTAATCACATGCATTAAGATAAATACTTCAATAAACAATTTCAGTATAAAAACTATAAATATTAAAAGCAACAAATAAGACATGCAAGACAAAAACAGAACCGCAAATCACAAGATAAAATAAGCCTATTTACAAAAACACATAGATCCAAGTTAAAAACAATTTAAAATCAAATACAATTACAAAGTGAATGAAATGAATGAAATAATCAATATCCAAATGTTATCAATCAAATCATTATCAATAATCACTTATTATAATCACTTTATCAAATCAATTAATCACTTTATCAAATCAATTAATCACTTTATCAAAATCAAATCATTATCAATAATCACTTATTATTCTTAATAAAGTTCACTTCTCTGATATATGTTGGACAGTTTTTATCCATTGCATGATGCGAGGCATTAAGATCTAAACCAAATTTTTCATTACAAGAAAAACAGTTAATACATTTGAATCCCTCACTCTTTCTATCACAAGAAGCTGCTAAATGATTTCCAGTGCATATTGCACAGCATACTTTCGAGTTACAAAACTTTCTTGAATGACCATAGGATAAACACAAAGAACATTGTCTAAATCGCAAAAATAATTTCACTGAGTACGATTTCCAACCCAAAGAAAGTCTCTGTTCCTCCAAAAATTCTTTATGACACAACGAATTGATGGAGAAAACTCTATGTGAAGATCCCTTAGATCCTTTAACAGGAATATCAAATAAAGACTTAACACATTCATTATTACAATTACAATCGCGTTTAAAAGCATCTATTATACTTTCATTCGTTACCGAAGAGCCAACACCATAAACAATTACACGTGGTTTAATAAAACGTCTACGTCTCGGCTTAATAAACTTTCTAAGACTCTCTTTTTTCTCAATAGCACACTCAAGTCTCTGCACCTCTTCACGACTACCCAATTTAAGTAAAAAATCACCATTTTTCTCTCCTGATAGACTTTTTAATCTTGGTTTTAAGATCTTCCGGTCTAATCATACTGCTAATTTCGTTGAAGGCATCAATGTTTTCATCAATTGGTTTTAAAATAATTTCATCCAGACCATCAACTTTCGCAATCGGTTCCGTAACACGACCAGGGACAACATTATTTCTATTACAGCAAGATCTTTTCACAATCATATCTTTAAGATCAGCAATTTCCTCTCTAACGTACTTAAGTTCTTGTCTGTTATTACGAAGAGCATCAGCCTCGACTAAATGAACCGCCTGAGCAGATGCAAGCAAAAGAATCCTGTCTAACCCGGCAGTAAGTCTATCAGGCAACGTAACCGCGATCTTCTTTTGACTTCTAATTTTATCCACTATTCCATGTAACTCTCGCACAATAGTCCATAATATCATTGGCTCCATCTATAACAATTTCTGATACATCCTCTTCTCGAGGATGAGCACCAACAGAACTAGGAACAGATTCTGATTCATGCATCCTACAACGGTATCAATTCTTTAACTTAACATACAAACAAAATTCCTTCCAAAACAATTCACCAAATATACCAGTTATAATACTTACAAAATTATCCAAAATACATTAAAATATCAATACATGCGGTCTGTTTTCATACAAATACTTAATTACACATAATAAGAACACAAAATATTTACAATAAAATATCTTAAAATTCAATAAGAACAGTTAAAATAGATATTTACAAAAGTTCTGCACAATACCAGCAAAATAAAATTAAAAGTCACCCCCAAAACGCTCAAAAATTTCTATAAAATCAAATAAACATAATATCACAAAACAAGCCAGCCAAATAGTCTTAAAATAATTTTTAAAGTTTTTCCCACAATTTTATCTGGAAAATTGAACAATTTGTCCAACGGGTGGAAGATGAAAATTGTGGTGCACCAAAAAATTTTCACACATCCTCCTTTCGGCGGGCAGAAAAACTCAAAAAACCGATACACCACATGACTCAAGTCACTTTAACACTAAGATGTTCAACTATCAACAAATATCCGCCTCGTTAGGCCTAGCTACACTCAAAAAGTTTAAGTTCAAATAGCTAATAAAATATGCATCCAAACACTATGCTTTTAAATATACAGGTAACACAAGTTATAAAGAGTCAAAATCAATCATCAAAAGTAATTTGCACAATATATGCATAAAGATAGAGACCAAAAAGTATTTATCGTATGCAAATGAGGTAGCAATTCAACATCAAACTTTAAAATCTTCACATCTTGCAAAATAAAGCGTCAAATTAAAAAATAATCACTAAAACACAAACTGGAACACACATAGATCAGAAATAAAGCATCTTCGTTCACTAATCTCACAAATTAACCTAAGATATAAGCGTTTTAATAGCGAGCTAACCAAACACCACACAACATGGATACCAGCCACCACAACCAATTGGTGTGGTGGCTGGGTGCTTTTCAGGTGTTCCCCCCTGGGTGCTTTTCATCGAAATACGGGGTGGTGGAACTGAGCTAAATCTCACTGACACAAGTAGGGTGCTCAAGGGTGTTGCAAAAGAAAGGCGTATCTTGCGCTCCTTGCCACGAGAAATTTCGGGGGCTTGGGCTGATGTTGCTGTCAGACAAGCGAGCATCACGAACAACATCACAATAAAAAACTTAAGAAGAAAATCTGAAAGGTTTCAGATTTTAAATTACGTCCAAAGGGGCGTTTTTATAACATTTTGTGTGTTACCTTTATTTATTAAATATCATATTCTTCGCACTCAAACCATAAAATTCAGTTCAAGACGAATACCGCAAAATAATTTTAAATGGAATTTAATAATTCTATCTTTAGAATTTCCGATACACAGTCTCGTGCTCTGGAGATAAAAAATTTTCCGTACAACGTTGCCATTGCTTGCTTAGAAATCCTTGAGTTTGTTAGTGAAAAATTCGTTAAAGTTTTACAAAATATGAAATCGATAATAAAACGAATTCCAAATTTTAAATTAGGGTTTCCAAATGCCCGCCCATATTTGGTGGAGGATTATGTTATTCAAAATTTTATGGCTCTAGGTTCCGTTTTTTTATCCCAACGCGAGAGAAACATACATACATTTATGCATATTCTTCATTATTCAATTTCTTCAAATATAATACTGGGCGATAATATTGGGTGGCAACAGTTTGAAAAGTGACGCGGACATTCAGAGTGATTCGACGCAAAATCGCAAAACGAAATCAATAATCCCTCAGGGACAAAGCCTCTTTAGACTAAAAATGTTATAGAATGAATTTTTCAAGCCGAAGTAATTTTTTCGATAGAGATCAAAATAAAACATAATAATTGTGAAATGACTGAAAAATGTCACCGAGTAAGGGATTAAGTAAACTAACATCTTTGTTTTTACTTTAGTTTACCATTTAAAAACTAAACACAAAAGCGAGATTTTGTTTAGTTTGGGGCAGACTTTTATGAGCTCTGTTGATTTTCAGAACGATCAGACATAGGTTTCTCTTCTTCAGAGACAAGACGATGACAGAAGATATCTATATTATTATTTGTTGTTACTTACGTATTCCTTCCAAAGGAACTATACGGACGGCAGGGATGCTTTCGTGGAGGACTTTTTAAAAAAAACGTGCCCGTAGTAAGACGTTACACATGGAGAAAACCCGGAAAACGCCCATGCAACTAGCCCGTTATTGGAATTCGAACCTCGAACCGAACTACCAGTGCTCAGGGCCTTTACCGCTCAACAGCTGGTGGGCCCCCAAGGACCAGTAAAGGCCAAGTCAGAAAATTAATCAAGAGCTAAATAAATAAACAAAAATAAAATGTAAATTAAACATGGTAGAGATTGTTTAATAATCTAATTTACTCTGAACATTGCATTCTACATGAAAAACCAGATACATATTTCTATTAAAAGAATCGAAGGCGATACTCGTGAGGAGCTTCCTAAAGCAAGCGAACTAGCCGATTAAGCGTTAGTTAAATAAAAACTTTTATCACAAAGCAGATTCAATTATAAAAATATTTGCGGCAACACAAACTTTCTGGTTACTAGTTCCTGAAGCAGCTGTATTATGTAGTCAGCTGTAAAATGTTGGAGGTAATTGCTTTTAAAAGAAATAAGTTATCTCAATTCTTGCAACAATAACGCATTCGAAGGTCTTAAGGTCTTTATGGTGTACAAGCCCCCTTGAAAGAGATGATTCTGATGAAGAGGGACTTTATTTGCCCTCGAAACCGATAGGGTACCACATGTTGTTGCCTCACTTTAATGATTTACTTGAGGCATGTTTATCTTTTGTTTTTATTTTGAGAATGTTCTCGTCCTCAATTTGTCGGACAATGTGCTGTAACGAAAGCTTTCAGAGTGAGGCGAGTCCACGCGAAAACAACGGAGACGCCGGTCATATCTCCGGCGAGAGGAGGCCAAGTTCACGCCTCGAGTATCCTTGCGCGCGTCCTTGCCTGATGACAGACAGGTTTGGCTCCGCCGCATTAACCCACTTTCTGTTACACAATGACGGCATCAGAACTCGCTTTCTTCGAAACGCGAGTTTTCTTTTAACTTTCTTCCTCACGAGGCTTCATTTTTTTAACAATTTTTTTTTTTTTTTTTTCTCTTTCAGACCGGCTGGATCTTCCCGTCGAAGTGAAAGGAGGCTGCATGGGTAAGTATCCATCGGTACTTCCCGAAATGGAACCGTTTTCCCAATTCTTCCTCAATCAATTTTACTTTTTACTTCTTTTCTTTGCCCACCAGCGGCCGAGCGGTAACGTCGCTGAACACTGGTAGTTCGGTCCGAGGTTCGAATCTCGCGAACGGGCTGGCTGCATGGGTGTTTTTGTGGTTTTCCCCATGTGTTACGTGTATACGAGCCAGTTTCCCTTAAAAAGTCCTCCACGAAGGCATCCCTCCCTTAAGGCAGATGGCCCTCGAGTGCTTTACCGTAATCTTATAAACCAAATCTTCTTTTCTTTTTTACTTTTCTCCTTTTCTTACTTTTTAATTTTTTTACACCCTTTCTTCCTTTTTTTTTTTTTTTTTTTTTTTTTCTTTTTGTTCTTTTTTTTTTTTTTTTACATTTCTTCTTTTTACCTTTCTTTTTTTCTACTTTTTCTTCTTTTTCTTTTACCTTTCTTCTTTTTTACTTTTTCTTCTTTTTTAACCTTTCTTTTTTTACTTTTCTTCCTTTGTTTTTTTTTACCCACCTTTACTTTTTCTTTTCGTTTTTACCATTTTTATAACCCCTTCTGCATTTTTACATTTTCTTCTTTCTACCTTTTTACTTTTTCTTCTTTTTGTAACCTTTCTTCTTTTTACTTTTTCTTCTTTTTTAACCTTTCTTCTTTTTTTACATTTTCTTCTCTTTTTACCTTTATTAATGCAGAAATTACAAAAGATTCTTTCATTGAGATAAATTCGGCGTCTCTTTAAATTGGTGAGACATCGCCAAGTTCGTGATTGTTTTAACGACTAATTTTTGTCGCCAAACTTGGCGACCATTTCGCGGCATTTTGATCCGGTCCCTGTATAACAATAATTGTAAAGTAGTAATTGTTCCCTATACAGGGTGTATCAATACAGCGGTGACAAACTTTCAGGAGAGATAGAATACACCTAGAAATGGGAAATCACATGTCAATGCATGGTCGGAAACGCTTTCCTGGTGTGACAAAAGTCAAATAAAAAGGACACGAACGGGGTGAGAAATAAAGCTTGTATTTTAGAGTACAAGTGGTAGAGAAGGCAAGTACAAGAGTAGAAAAAGCAACACAAAGAGAAAACGATCATCATCAAAGGTGGTGTGCGAAATTACAACTCGGACCGTGATGCAGAAACCGTGCGTCATGCATCTTCCATGGGATCTTCTATTCGTGATGCAGATCTTCCATGCACCAGCGAAGTGAAGCTTGCATCACGGTCCAGAATCGTAATTTCGAACATCTTCTTTAATGACGATCGTTGTTTGTTTTTGTTCTTATTTGTAGGCTTCTGCTGTACAAAACATAATAAAACATGTTTAGTCTCAGTGTTTGTGTCTTCCTTTTTTGCGTTTTGTGTCGTTACTACCGCGCCAGGAAAGCGTTTCCGACACGCATTGCTATGTGGTTTCCCATCGTCTAGGTGTATCCTATCTCTCCTGAAAGTTTTTCGGTGACAAACTTTAAATTTGAGAACGTAAGAAAATAAGACTACTAGCTAACTAAATTTAAATAAGAGCTAAACTCGAATACTTAACACAAATGAATAGCACTAAGAGTGGCCTTTCATATTATTATGTATTATAATGTATGTAGTACGCAAACTGCGGAAAACTACAGTACGTCTTTAGCCTTCAAGAGCACTAAAACCTCTGGCCATAAAGGCGGACAGCAACTGATTGAAAGCTCGTGTGAAATACAGTGACAAAGAGACTCACTCTCCCTCCTAACTCCGTTCTTGGCAAAAAGCCACAACTTAAATACTTAAGGGAACTCGTACACTTTAAAACCTTACTTATCTTTGAATCGTACACTTATCTTTGAATATGTAACTGTTGCAAGAATTGGAATAACTTATTTATTTTAAAAGCAATTACTTCCAACGTTTTACAGCTGACTCCATAATATAGCTGCTTACTTAAATAGTAATCAGAAAGTTTGTGTTGCCGTAAATATTTTTATAATTTAATCCGCTTTGTGACAAAATGTTTCGTTATGTTTCGGCCTTGTGAGCACAGTTTAAAACATTCTGTAGCATAATTTAATTCCATGTATAATATATAGGTTTTATAGCATTTGAAAACTACTGTGAACCAAAAATTCTCAGAATTTCATGTTAGATTTTTATTTTATTTGGAGTTGAGTTTATAAAATGCATTTGTATAAAAAATTTTAATGTTTTTGCGCCTAAAATTTTTAATATTAAAATATTTATTAGATTTTTGCTTCAGTTAGAAAATAGTGCCCTTATAAAGAATTCTATCCAATTTCAAGTATGTACCATTAGTGATTTTTAAAATATCCTGCGCGCAAGGTGGAAACATGACGAAAAATTTTGTCACAAAGCGGATTAAATTACAAAAATATTTGTGGCAACACAAACTTTCCAGTAACTAGTTTCCAAAGCAGCTATATTATGTAGTCATCTGTAAGAAGTTGGAAGTAATTTCTTTTAAAATAAATAAAATATAACAATTCTTGCAACAGTCACATATTCGAAGATCATATAAGGGGTTTAAGGTGTATGAGCCCCCTTAAGCGTTAGCAAGCGCAATTTGCATAAACAGATTAACGCGTTTATTCTGGCCGGAAGTGGAAAATAAGAGAGGACAGTAAAGTTTTGAAATAAAATAAACGTTAGTCAAACTTTAGATCCTTATATACATAATTTTATGCCTTCCAATAATTTCGACAAATGAAAGGTATTAGGGATTTCTCGGCGGCCGGGGGAAAACTATGTAAGTCCGGAGATAGTATCAGTTCGAGGTAGCAGCTGTTAGTTCAGGGTTGAATTCTGAGTAATGAGATATCCGTAAGAGTATCGCCTTTCAAATGTGCTTTGTACTTGCTCTGTAATTAACGTTCTTAGTAGTTCAAAGTGTAATTGCCGATTGTATTCTGTGATGCTGAGGGGAGCGGTACCAGTATTTTTGTGGGAAGTTCCAGAACTGTTAAGTATTTCATTTTGTAAAATAAAATTTATCAAACTATCATGAAATCTCTTAACAGTTTTTGATGGGTTCTGTCTTGGCGAAATCTCCATCATAAAGGTGAAGCACCTTTCCGCAGCTGGACCAGTATTTAGCAAGGTTGCCTTGACATAAATGGGCCGGCACCCTTACGAAGTCCGTACCATTAATGAGTTCAGTTTTTCTTGAAGAAAGCAACTTTCATCGAAATGTTGGTTCTGTTATATCAGAGCGTTTTTGTGTCAAGACAGTGGGACTATTAAGAGTTTCAGCGAAATCCCCTTATAAAGGTACGAGCACCGTTATAAACTGCAAAGTATAACCTGAAGAAGCCTCTTTTCGTCGAGGTGCCGGCACATTTATAGTGGCGTCTTTCTTGGTGAGCGTTGCTTTGAAGAACAAAGTGAATAATCGCGTATTGGAAAAAAGGTGCCTCCTGGCAGCTCTATAAAAGAATACCAATAGAATAATCAAAGAACCGATTCAGTTTCTTTGCCTCAATGAATCCATGGTTGTTTGTTTGACTGTGTGACACAACAGATCTCTTAAAGTATTGTTACGAAATGTCCAGCCGCGGTAAGATAGCTTCCCCGCAAAGCAGGTTAAGGGTTGCCAGAAAAGGGCAAGGGTATGCAGGGTTGCCACATTGGGTGAGAAATCGGCTATTTGGCGACAAAATGGGCGATATGCTTTAGACAGATGGAGAACCTTCTGGAACAAGTTCTTATCGGTTTGGCCCAGAATGTTCTCCAACGCAAGCCAAAAGCTGTATAAACCCTGCTGAGAGTCAGTGCCTAGTCGAGTCAGCTAAGAGTCAGTGATCGAGTGTCTCGTATTCTAGTGTCCAGTTGGTCGTCGAGTGCATCGAGAGAGTCTCTTAGTGTATCGCGAGTTAGTGCATCCCCGAGTTTTATCTTAGAGTGTGCTGAGCTCCGAGAACGACGGAACCGAGTCGGGAGCTGTACTTCAGTGTATCGTTGATTGCATCGCGAGTTGTAGCGTGGAGAGTCTCGAGCAGAGTCGGGAGCTGTACTCTAGTGCTCTGCTGTGAAGCTGTCTTCACCTTTATAGCCTGATAACCTGAAGGCTGCGTGTTTATAGTAGTTCTTCGATGATTGTAGGCGTGATTTTGGAGCTGTCCTGAGTAATACTGACTAATAAATTGTGTTTCGATACTTTATCAAATGTCGTCGTTATTCAGTCCAAATCCACGAACCCGTACGTACATAGAAACGTAACAATATTTTCCCTTTTCTTATGCTGTGGCAGAGGTGTGCTTGCAGTTTTTACACAGACTGCCCACGTGTAGCTCTATTGATGTTACCTGCATTTGTTTCTGTATTTTGCTTTTGTTGCCACATGCATTGAGAAAGTTTTTTTTTTCACTTGAATACGTTACTCTGAACGACGTTAAAATGTCTAGCTGTGCGAGAAGCTTCCAGGTATTCTGCATGGATCTACTGTGTTAACTTTAGGAGCTGCTCTTGCTTAAATATAGGTTGTGGGCAACTATCTGAATGTTGGCCTTCATTGTTGGCCATCATTGTTAGCGTTCGTTGGCAACCATCTGATTGTGAGCCTTCATTGCTGGCCACCATTGTTGGTCTTCGTTGACAAACATCTGATTGTTGGCTTTCATTGGCAACATTCTCATTGTTGGCCGCTATTGCAGATCTTCGTTGGCAACCATCTAATTGTTGGCCTTCGTTGGAAACTATTTCATTGTTGGCCTTCGTTGGCAACCATCTGATTGTTAGCCATCATTGCTGGTCTTCGTTGGCAAAAATCTGATTGTTAGCCTTCATTGTTGGCCATCATCTGATTTATCGTAGTATTTAAAACAGATTTTTTTTTGTAACTATCCTAGTTTTTTACTCTCGGAAATATCCTTTTAAAAGTTTTGGCCCATTTTCAAATTTTACTTACATATGCTGTCCCATAAGAAAAGAAAGAAAATTCAAGATAAATTATATTAAAGTTTAATTTGAAGAATGCAT